AAACAGATGATGCAAATATGTGGTATTGGACAATTGTTTTGCCAAACCATCCATTATTTGTTTTATTTGCTCAATCGTTTCGTTTTTTAAAGTAAGTTTAACAATCCATGTTGAATCACTCTCTTTTTCAACAGAGTCAATATGAAAAACAGTACCAGAAAAGAATAAGATTTCTTCTTCGTCTGGATTTGAACTAAAATGAGAAATGTCAGCAAATGGATGGAGTATGTTTTTCTTTGTACTTTCAACGTTAATTTGAAATATAACTCCAGCTTTAGCTCCAATTATAAATGCACGAGCAACATCTTCTTTACGCGTTGTAGACATAATTGTATTTACTGAAATAAGATGTCCGACATTTGACTCTAACTTTTCTAAATCATTTCTACTGAGAATTTGTCCCCGAAAAAGTTTCATGTAATTTTCTTGTTGTTGTTTTATTGATAGCTCTTTTAGTTGTTTATATAAGAGAATAGTAAAATATTGAAATTTGCAAATTAAATGAATGTTTTGCGTACGAAATGCTTTGTTCAGAAGTCGATACAAGAATGAATCTTTTGTATACCAGTTTAATGCATTATCATTTGTACAATTATTAACAAAATAATCAATATTAGTCAGTTGAACTTGATTATTCTTATACTCTAATTGACATTGTTCTACCATATCGTTTTTCAATTGATTCATATCCGTATGAGGGAAATTGATGAGGTAATCGGTAAAAAATTGATTCCATAAGAACATCAATGTATTTTTATCTAAACTCGTTAAAGATCTTTCACTGTTAATCTCATCTAAACGTGAGATACTTATTGGCAAATCATTTCTATATGTCAGAAGTATATCTTGACGTAATCGTTCAATTAATGTATGTTCATCCGTGAAAATATCAATCAATTTCGAATATTTTTGTTTTTCATATTTCACATTTCGAGTATTTCTTTCCAAAACATTAATTGATTGAATTTGAGAAAGATCATTAAAATATGATGTATGATCAAACAAGTAGATTAAAACAAGAAGGATTTTGCGTTCACTTTGAAATCCTTTTATGTAATTGTCACAAGTTTCAAACGAATGACATTTCTTTAAGTAATCAACAAAATTTGTTAATTCATTTGGAACATTATTATCCGAACAAAACCAAACAACTTGAAAATCATCATGATTCTGGATTTCATTTAATCTAGTTGATGATAAATTAAATTCGGTCATGTTATTTCACTTGATTTTCTTTTCTGGAAATAAAAAATGACGTTCAATTGAGAGAAAACATAAGATTCTCATGGATTTGAACTAACGGAGAAAACAACTGTCAAGCCTATGTGCTATAGTTACCCGTATATGAAATGAAAACAAGCTTCATCAGAAAAAAAAGGAAGAATACCCCGCTTTTCGGCTACCGTTATCGGTATAGGGTAGTGCCAGAGACAATTTTTGTACGTCCAATATCTTTGCCACATTTGATTAATGAGCTGTAACTCTGGACAAAAGATCAGCCTGGCGTAGAGTTTTCTCACTAAACTGCTTGAGCTAAATACTTATTAACCACATACTAGCTATTCTCAGAACTGAATGAGTTTGTTGTGTGTCATGATCTAAAGTAATTGCTGTAAATAAGTTGCCACAAAATCATTACACAACATGACGGCGTCGAACACACTACGTGTGACGTGTGTGTCGGGCAACATAATTACTAAACCGTGCCGATGCAAGCTTCATTCGACAGACTAGAGATTCAATTAATCATGAGAGTTTTCGCTTTACGTAACTGTATAAAGAACGAGAAGTAGTAGAATTTTATTCTTGTGATGAAAAAGAATTTTACGATCTCCATCCATTCTTGGATTTGAAGGCCAGATCAAGTACATCTCTGTTTTTCACTTCTGGCTAAAATGATATTGCCATTCAATCTCAGAATGGGGGTGAAAGCACTTTTTCCTGTTTCGCTTGAATTTTGATTGAGAGAAAACATCCAGGAATGTCCTGTATTGAATGTGTTTCTCTAGATACTGTACAATCTAGCGCCTTAGTCGACTTGTTGGTCGAACTAATCTTAGTGTTCTGTGATTAGGATGGGCCGCTGATAATACAATTTTCTGTGTGTTAAAGAGGCTCAAAATGATCATTTGCTATATCTTGGAAGACATAAACGGGAAAGCGACCTAACACAGAGAAAACTTGAGATTTCTGCATAGTAACATATTTATGCAAAATACGCGAAGTTGCAAACATTATGATACACCTGATATTTATAAGTCCGAGGGGAATATAGTTATAAGAAAGGTGAAGGAGGGTAATCTCAAAAAAGGTTGTGTCCTCAGAGTTATTTTATCGAAATAGATTGAGCAAAAAGCGGATTTGGTTGATTGTTGTCAAAAAAGCTCAACAGCGACTATCTAGTTTAACCTATTTCTTTCCAAGGACATTCTCTTTCTCTACGGGATCGTTTACTTGAGATTCCACTCAGAAGCGGGTAAGAAGAGAGAAACTATGGAAAAACTGTCTTCTCCCTCTCAGGCGAATCAATGATGATAGAAAACGTCATCATTCGACCTATTTTCAATTAATCCTGAGTTTCACAAATAAAAGACAGAAGAGCCGATATCTTCACTTAGCTATTAGATGTAATAAAAAACTACAGGCTGCTCATGTGCAGTTCCAAATTTGTCTACGTGACCTTGGCATCAAACAAAAACAAACAATTTCCTGCTCAAGTGATCGTGCGTCAAAATTCGCTTGTTTTATTTGAAGGCAGAAAGAGTGTCAATACAACATTCCTTTGTAGAAATTTGAAACGAACGAAAAATCGACACGTTACGCTTACGTGTTTCGATGATGATGCTTTCCGAGTGAATTGTGAGTTCTTTTGTGTCATTACACACCTTTAGAGAATTGCTTACTTCTTTGCATTGCAGAATAACAGCGAGACGATGAATGTTGTTGATGGCAAATGGTCTTTCTATTTATACTTGAATTTTTCTCGACACTATACCTGAAATTCTTCTCGTTTGTTATCATCGTCATCAACACACTTCTCTACATATTTTCGTCACTGTTGATTCAATTACAGGCAAACAAAAGATAAGAGCACGCTAGTTGCATAGTCCACATCACACACAATATGCAACTGCAGCAACTATTTTCTAAATCAGTTTTCATAGCTGATTCAGAAAAATATAGCTCGAACTTTCAGACTATTAATACAAGGTCAAAAAGAGAAATTCATGATAGATGTCGTTTTTTCGGGCTTTTGACACCTCAGTATTTTCAAATTTTGTCTATGAAAAACGGTTTATAGGGACTGAAAAGGTGATATTCGTGATCAGCATGAAAAGAAAAATCAGGATATGTATACTAAAGTCAAAACAAAATTTCACTCAAATTCTGAATTAGCACGGCCTTAATATTTTGTATTTTAGCTAAGGAACAGTTAGATAATTGTAAAGTGAAATGAATTTTTGAATTAAATGAATTATTTTCTTATTTCTCAGAAGAGAAAATATGTCTTTCGCAGATTAGTCGAAAGCCTAGGAGTGGGTTCTTCCCATAGAGCAAGGGGACATGACAAAATCTGTGATTTTTTTCGAAGGTTGATCTATAATTGTTTGGTCTGAAATTCAGACTGAAACCTCAATTTTTTTCAGTTTTGGTATTTTTTGTATGCAATAAAATATATTTATTATATATTATTGTTATGGCCATATAGAGGTCGCGATTGAATATTTAATTATACACAGTAGCTATCGTTTGTCAATAGCGATTTATCTAATTGTTTGAAATGGCTGTAGTATAATAAAAATCGACATTGATCCTGACAATGGGGACTTTGGTGAATAACTTTCATTAAATACAAATATTTTGAACAGCACTTCTGAACTTGGCGATGAGAATGTTTGATAGACATAAAAAATGTTACTTTTCTGTATAAATCAGTTGTCATCTATATAAAATATATAAATTTGAAAATTTTTAAAAATATATGCCACAATTTTTTTCTCACCTATTTTCTTTTAACCTTTTCATAAATCCAGTCCAATGATTTGTTACTAATATCATACCATTATATAGCTTATAGTGTTCTCTAGCAAATATCCAAGTATGGTGACAAAATAATTGAAAATAATTTCAGAAGAAGTGATCAAACCAGCCATTTCCAGTCTGAATTTGAGACCAAAGGACTATACTATTTTCATATTTTTAATATTTCTTAAAACACTTCCCAGATACTTGATTTACTTGTTCGATCTGTCACTGGTACTATTTAACTTTTAACAGGATAGAATCTTTGTTAATATACGAAATCGGATAAATTATATTTTTAATATTTCTCAAAATATAGACTTTGTCTTCGTAGAATTTATTATTTACAATTAACAGTTAGACGTTTCGATTATACAACGTGCAATCTTCTTCAGCATAACATAAAACTGATAAAACAAAATGTATATATACAAAAAACAATTCTCGTTTATATTGTAATGTGTACAGTAGATGTTAAAACTATAATGTGACCATTTTTTCTTTACGTATGTTTATACCTCTACTTTACCCTTTTCTTTTTCTTATTCTTATCACTCGACTAAACTAGAATGACGAAAGGATTGAAGAAAATATGGCTATTTTATTTTAGTTTATTTTGGTGGACCGAGATTAAAAGAACTGTTTATGAAAAGGATATGATATTTGTGATTATATCGTGATATTTCCACAGTTTCGACACATCATTCCCTCTTCAGCGTAGTAGTATGTTAAGTTTTGCACAGCGGTACAATTGGTGCGATAGTTAATCAATAAGAGACAAAGAACGTCTGTTGAATGGGAGAAATAAAAGTAAAATGCTATAAAAGTAATAGATAATGACAACAAGGTTTTTGTCGTTTAATCTTCAAAGTTTAGGACTGAGGGAAAGGTTTAGGTAGCAAAAGTGTAGTATAAATTCTCTTTTTTTGTGATTGTTAATGGTACTGTGAACAGAAACTATTATACATATATGATAGAGGTTTGCTTTCCTTTTTTGGACTATTTAACTTCTTTAATAAGCTGTACAGCAAAAAGAACAAATAAGCGAAACTTCACAAACAAAGAAAACAAACAAAAACGTGCCTAAGTGTGGATTCCTACTGGTACCTACTTCCATTTTTTTGGGGGAATGGTACAAAAAAAAATGCGATTGGCTCATATAGCTCCGGCGCATGCCTGTAGGTCCGGAACGGTAATAGTTGTAGATCTACGGGTAGTCTTAAATAAAAGAGGACATGTGCCTCTATCATGTGAATGAAAAAACCCTCGCCCTTCTATCCGAACTTTTGCAGAAAAAGCGACTTTAAAAACGTAAATTGATAGATGGCGCCATCGGACGGTCAAAGTAGACCGAATGTTATAGCGTTTGATAAAGTAATCTTTTCTCTTTCTAACAACGCAAACCGCACCTCTATACGTGTTTCCGTTAAAGTTCAAGTTCATCAAATTCAAGTTACAACCAACTTCATTGTCCTATGAAATGGAGTGTAGTGACAGTGTTTTTAATAGGAATTTTAAGCAAAGTGGGTTTCCACAGTTTATCACTGCATTTTCCATGTTTTTCCTGCTAAAAACAAAGTGAAAATCGAATTTGAAAAGTGGAAACCCATTTTGTTCAAGCGAGACCCACTCACTAATCATTAAAAACACTGCCTAGTGAGTAGAAGACCACACAATTCATTTAGAAAATACCTCCGGTATTTAAGACATGGGTAGTTAAGATTAAATCCAAACTTGTGTTCGACTTTGTCCTTGTAACCTCTGATTGAGTTAGAGTCCTTGTAATCACTAATTGAGTTAGAGCTTCACACTCACAAAAGTCATAAAGCTTTTCTTCTGCAGACGTAAACTTTGCAAACGAATTACACCAACTATTTGAATGATGGTTAAAGTCACCTATTGGAATTATCCAACTGAATAAATTAGCAAAAGTAGAACGAATAGTATGAAGAGAACTACTTAAGTGGTTGAGAAATATACCGACATTACACCACTGAGGTCTATAGCTTAAGTTAGATAGAACACAGTTTGACGAAGAAAGTTTCAAACTAAAAAAATACGTTTCAAAATCCTTATCTTCTAAAAGTAGAAATCTTTTACCTTCTACACCTTTTCTAATAAAAACAAATATACCCCCACTTCTCTGTCCTTCTCTAACTTTACGAATAAAGATCTCATAACCATTGGGAACTAACTGGCTAATATCATTTTCTGAACTTAACCAAGTCTCAACGATTCCAACGACCAACGGCTTCCTTCGTATAACTTCCAATTTTAGTAATTCAATCTTATTCATAGGCTTATCTATGTTTGATAGAATATTGCTTGCGTTAAGAAACAAGATCCTCTCACCAGTATCTGTACTGATAGCTGCTTTTTTATCCACAAGTATACGCATAACACCAGCTGACAACTATCATAAGACACAGAATGGTATAGGAACATATCAAATACAATTGTGTAAAAGCAATGTTAATACACAAGCTGTCAAAACCTATTTTACGTATGCATATGAATATAAACGTGTTATACAGTACAAAAATAAAATCACTTTGCTCTCCTATCGAGCTTAAACGTATAAAAGAAGAATAGAAAGACAAGACAAAAAAAGACTAAAGGCATAACTACATGTAACCACCTTGTACACTGGATTACTACGTACACATTTGACTATCTACTTCATGCTGTTCGGCTCGCCTTATCTACATCACTTAAAAATCTCATAAAGGCTGGTTTATTCATCTGATATGAATAATAGAAAGGCATACCATCCTTTGTATATAAATAAACATTCTTCAATTGTGACTGAGCATATTTCAACAAATTGAAATTATCGTTTGTTAAGTCTTCTCTTATAATAACATTTGAGCAACCAATTTGATTCATAATAAATGGCGTAAATATATGCTCTATTTCGTGAATCAGTTTGACGAATGCAAGAAAATGATGATGATCTTTTCGATTTGTTGACGATTTTTCACATGCAACTAACCACTACAAAGTAGATTAATAACGTTTACAATGTTGATTGGTTGATTACAATAATTTTTCGAGGAAATGCCACCTTCGACCCTCCAAACAGCATTTAACTAAGAATTCGAAGGGCACATGCGATAGAGAATTCAATTTTCCACAAACTGAGCGCAAAAACTTTGTTTTAAAAGTGGTGCAAAAGTCTCTAAAAGATTTCGAAGACACATCATCTGATACAGTTTTTGACGCTGCTTCTAACTATCATCATACTTTTGCTTGTAAGTGAAGTTTCGACGACTAAAATCTGAAAAAACTGAAAACTCCCGGTTAGTCGGCCATCTTGTCTTCAAGTTTTGGAACTTTTGCACCACTTTTAAAACAAAGTTTTTGCGCTCAGCTTCTGGAAAGTTGAATTCTCTATCGCATGTGACCTTCGAATTCTTAGCAAAATACCAAATCTCCAATTGTATTCAGGTTTCGAAACGTATCTAAATGAAAACAAGATCCGTAGCGATGTCATGTCGAATATAAATATATATTTGCTTGAAAATGATGACACAACGGACAAACATTCCTCGAAAGGCAGAAAGGCTTCTTTAACAGCATGTATTGAAGATATATTTATATATTCTCCTGCAATGTCAGAAAGTTACAAAAGCTGATTCACCAACATATATTGTTGCCATGCTTTTCTCATTTTTCGACTTTCTGCCTTTCTAGGATAGTGGATATTTTCTCTGTATTTCTGAGAACAAAACTGCCTCATTTGCTGACTTAGTGTCTATGCGCAGCATTCTAACTGAGGTTACCATTTATACAGATGAAACAAAACGTTTCGATTAAATAAATTAAATAACTAGCAGCGTATTGTTTAAAGATTTTTCTACCTCCACTCTCCATCGTAACTCATAACTATTTCTTGCTCTATTTTTTTCTATATAACGGATCTTACGGTAATTGTTAAAGCATTAACTTGTATTTTTTCTGGTTTATGATTCTGAAAAAGATTTTCTATGTATTTCGCGTTTTAATACTCATTATTATTAGTGATGTATTACGTGTACAACCTACACCTCCCTGTGCAAGTAAATCAGCAGATTATGTACCATCTGTCTTAATTGAAAACCTTATTCAATCGTCAAAAACACAACCTGAACAATCCAGAACTCTGATAGATAATCATCACGACAAAATTAAAACTCATGTGGAGGAAACTGTTAAATCAATTGATAATCATCATGAACGAATTGACAACCATTCAAAACAATTAGATAAACACAAGAATATTCTAAAGTTTGTCTATCCGTCTTTTCATTGGTATTGGTAGTGTTGATTCTATTATTAATTGTTATCCTGATCTGTATTTTGAAAAAGTGGTTTGTTTGTAAACCAATACGTGATGCTACATCAAACTCTTTATCGTCTTTAGTAAGACCTGGTACAACCAATGAGCGTGTTGCTAAACAAGAAATTTCAACCATTGATAATTTTACATTGTCAAATGCCATAGCTGCTATGGTCGCTGAAAAATTGTCTTAATTTATGTATTTTTTACCTGTTCATTTTTTTCCCCTCGTTTTGGCTTTTACTATTTAGTCTTTTTCTTTTATAATTATAGGTCGATAATCGGGTTCGCCCCGCTAACTTTGTTTGCTTGAAAATCAATAAAGACATAAAAAAGCAAAACTAGAGGGAGATGCGCGTAATATAATGACAGTAAAAAAATGTCCAAACTCTTCTATTAGAATGATAAACATGTTTGAATAGATATGAAAATTTGAATTACACACAAAATATCCTACAAGGATTTGAATTTTGTTTAGTTCATAACTTTGCGACAATTAACCTATTAAGATTCAAAATTTAACCCTTATTTCGGAATTGGTGGGCTATATGTCATGAGCGGTAGCCGAGTTGTTTATTCTCGACCTGATCAGAATAAAACAAAAGCCAAATTGAAAAACAAAAAAGTAGTAGAGAAGGCATTATCGATACAAGACACAGGAAAAAAACACAGAACCAATATCTATATGAAAAAAAACAAAAAACGAAAGAGAATCTCGGAGAGAACATGAACATGACAGGACAAAAAACAGAGAAAAAAGGAAAATGACCAGACACCAGTCGGAAAAGTCGTCACAATGCTTTATTAACTTATTGATTAATTCTTTTTTGTGGTATTATGATTAAGTATACACCGAGCTATCCGAGTTCGAGCTAGCCGAAAATTAAAGTCTCTTTTCGAAATCGAAAATGTCTTACTCTAAGTGAAAAATGAAATTTTTCTCATGGCTAAATGCTAAAGCGAGATAAGAGTTCAGATTACTTGCATAAAGTGTAAAATGAAGTTAACATGCAAAATAGCATAAAAGTATGAGATCCTTTTTAATGTGGAGGCCTGAGAATTACATCAATCAGAAAAAAACAGACTTTAATTTTCGGGTAGCTCGATCTCGGGTAGCTCGAAATTCGGGTAACTCGAACTCGAGTAGGTCGATTCGGAGCATACCTATTGATGATAATGATGAGTGGTGTGCTATAATATTATTACAGTCAAATGTTTTCATACTAAGGTGTAGGAAATTCAAAGTTTGAACAAGATTTTTTTTCCCATTTATTTACACATGGCTGAGTAGAGCGCATCTTTTTTCCCGTTTTGCTTTGTTACTTAGAAAATTCGTATTTTCTAAATCATTAGCGCAAAAATCGGAATTCTGCTCGTACTTCTCAACTTTTATACAATAAATAATATCATATTCGGAATCAGCGTTGAAAATTGGGTCGAATGACATACATTTTGAAAAATTTGGTTGATTTTCATTAATTTCGACCTAAAAAATTCGAAAAACACTAAAGCGGTCCGATACCATAAAAAAAAACCCTCATCATTCGACTCAGTTTTCGATACTGATTCCGAATACGATATTATATATTGCCTAGAGGTTCTGATGAAGTAAATGGGAAAGTACGGGTAGATTTTCGATTTCTGCGCTCATGGTTTTAGAAAATATGAATATTCTCAGCAATCAAGCAAAATGGAATAAACTTAATAGGTACTTTTAAAACTCGTTTCATGTCGGCTCCAATCAAGTCAAAAGATAAATAAATAAATGGGACAAAAAAATCTTACTTTGAATTTCCGGCACCTTATATATTACACATACTCTACAAATTTTTTCTTTCTAATAAATAATCATAAAATTCTACTGGTTTAACAACTATTTCATTATTATTAAAAAGATATTTTAAAATTCTAATTTTCTTAAATATTTGAAATACACCAATATCATGGAAATTATTTATTATTTCTAATAGGTTTTCATAATTTAGTAATTTAAATTGTTTAATATTACATATTTACATAATAAATTATATTTTATATAGTGTATATTTAACCTTTGTACGCCCAAGCCTATTTTAGACACAATAAATAGAATGCATTCACAGTTCAATGTATTTCATACTTCGATGCAAGTATTAAAGAGGAAAAGAATTTGGCCTTAATCAAAAGTCAGATATGAAGATGAGAACTGCGGTCTTCAACTCACTTCCACTTAACCCCACCCCCCTCCAATGCCTTCGCTTTCTTCTAATATTCTTAATTTTCTGCCCTAGTCTTCGATGAGAGTAGAAAATTAACAAAAGTGAATCCTTCTTGAAATTTTCTTCCGTCGTCGACTTTAGTCGAAAAAATGTGAAAATTTTTACATCTGTATCATTCATTCAATTTTCCATGCTGATTTCGAATATGATACTTGCGTCGAGTAAGAAATGAGTTCTTATGGAGGTAATTCGCAACTAGCTCCATCAGAATTCCAATTGTCCCATTAAAAGTAAAGATTTCTCACGTGAAGTTCATTCTGGCACGATTCGACGCAGCTCGTCAAACTCTATTTATATCATAAAAAGGAAGACTTTCAGTTTACGACTCGAGCTTCCAGAAAGATTTGTCGGCGAGTAACGCTGTAACAGAAAAGGTCCCTATTTTTTGAGAACTTCCGATTGAGAACCTTTGAATTGAGCTGCGCCTCTGAAAAGTTTCTGAAAGCCAGTTGGTAGAGGAGCTAACGGACTTTCTTTTGGTAGAAAAAGCTCTTTCGAAACCCTTCCGCACGCCTAGGAAACTCGATTTTGTAAGGGAACGCTGTAACATTTTTCGTATTGTGACACACTTTTTGTCGCACCATTTTTACCGAATATCTTATAATATTTGAAATTTAACTTTATTAAATTTTGTCTCGAGAAGCTGAGAAACATCAAGTTTTGTTTAAGCGTTTTCGCTCTTTCAAATGGTGCATCATTCACAGAGTCTGAACAAAGTTTCGAGCCATACTGCACGCAAAGAAAACGAGGATTTGTATATTCTTAAACGTTTTTCAAATCTCACAACTGCGACAGATCTCAGAGTCCAAAAATGTGTAAAGCCCGGGACAGATTAGAATATATTTATATATAACATACTGATATTTGCATCATAGTGATAAGCCTAAAACTAGGATTCAGGAAACTTCCCTACAAAACAATTTTTTGTCGGCACCGGTT